TGTGTTTAAGATTGTAAAGGGAATTGATAGTGTTGCTGCATAATCTTTTTTCATACTTAACAGTGATAATAGTAGGACTAGGGGCAACAAGTATAAATTTTGGCAGGGTAGGAGTCATCTTCAGCTAAGGGTGGTTGGCTTTTGGAATGGATTGCCTTCGGATGTTGTGGAGGCAGTAAATTTAAGAGAGTTTAAGAAAAAGCTTGATAAGTATATGAATGAAAAGGGATAGCTTTAAGATATATTTTCATTTCATTATTTTAGTTTATTTTAGAGGATGGAACAGCCGAGATGGACCAATAGGTCTCATGTTGTCCCAAAACGTTTAAACTGTGTGTAGTGTCGTTCACTTGGTGTTCAACGATGATTTTTCGACTCCTTTTCACGACCTTAACAAGTGAATGTTTCTCACGCTCTAACAGCTTTCTTCTGCTAATCTGGATATTTTTTAAATTTTGTACTTGTACATTTCTGATACAAGTGGATGGTTTCATACGCAGTAGATAGCACGGAACCAAGTATTGCAACTATTTCCTACATATATAAGGATTTTTCACTTTAAATTAAAATGCCGTTTTTTACAATGTTTTAACATCTTGGACACACTTTCGCATTCCTAAATTACTTAAATAATGTGATTTTGTACTAATATTGAATGACATTCCTTGCAGACTATGTAGAGCAGGCCATACCACATGTTTAATGGATGTCCGAATATTTGTGGAAAATCAATGAATTTTTAATAATTACTTAATTTCTGTTCATAGTTTCAGAATGGACTTAAAGTAAACTCCATATTGTGTGTGCATAAGCACAGTGAAATATATTTACTTTCGTAGTGACCAAATAATAAGATCTTTCTCAAAAAATTTACTCTTTAACAATGACCAAATGGGGATTCTTGAGAACACTCAGCTCAGCCCTCTTCTGTCGACCAAAAATTAATAGTGTGTGTTTTTCTTATAACAAAGCCACAGTGGGTTATCTCCTCTATCTACCGAGGGGAATCTAACCGCTTATTTTAGGGATGTAATTCCAATGACTTACCGTTATCCCAGCGGGGGATAAATTAATAGCTTCTAAAGTTTGTATTTCACAGTTTATATTGAGACGTATCCTTCGGTGATCAATTAAGTAAACAAAATTTAGTATTTATAAGGGGAATTAAATCTATTTTATAATATTTTACACAGTAATAGGTTTCTGAGCCCAAATTAGCAATAATTACTGATTGTAAACTCATTATACATAAATTCAGTAACGTTTTATTTCCCCGAAAGGGGGATGAATGCACTCGCTCATCGTGAACCCTCGATAAGACATCAAGGAAGTTCCAGACTAGAAAAAAGATTTATATTGTTTGTAAGTTTGTGAAACTTTTGTTTATGAATCATTGTTTGTAATAGCTATTTGTAATAACCGTTATTGTAAATTGTATTGTTGTTTGTATATTAAAACATATTTTTATTAAAAAAGAAAATTGTGTGTATCAATCTTATTGCCAAATATCATAAACTGACTATATACCGGCTTTTACTTAACTGCTAAATCCAAGGTACAATTTAACTCAGTTTTAGGCTATTAGAAATTGTAATACGTAACAATGCCACCTGGAAGGGTCACCTGTTTTAACCACTCGCACCATGATACAGTGTTGTCTGTCAGTCAGCCAGTAGACACTACAATGACGCCACATAAGGGACGCTTAACGTTGCAATATGTACTGTCGTGACGTCAGTAAAACGTGTACATGCCATGAATGAGGAGAAGAACTATGCACTATGCTACAACACAGCATGACATATGAACTTCGAAAGCAAGAAGTAAAAATATTTGTTACTCTTGATTTTGATTTTATTTACTCTTGAAAGGAAAACTTTCGGGGACCCTGTAGAAGTACATTTAATAGTATACGCATATAAAAAGAACTGAATAAAAAGTAAAAACTATTTCTAACAAAAACTATATTGTTTTATTATAAAAAAAACAGATTAGTAAAAATGATCTTTATAAGAAGTGTTTTTACTGAGGGTTGGAGGAACGACTACGACGACCGTTTACAAAAAAAAAAGTGTACATGCTCCTGAGGTCAAACCTTTATATCGAACTGTTGACTGGTTCAGCTTGATTTACCTGTATTCTTCCTTGCTTAGGTTTTGAAGGATATTTAGGTCCTCGTCCTTCATCAGTCGAAAGGTTGCACTAATATGATAGTTTTCTAATACTGCTCGGTCGTTATACAGTAGTGCTGTCTCTGAACTGTAAACAGAAACCACTTTCGTCAATTAAAATATATCTAGTGTTTTATACGTAGATGTAACCTACGTTAAATGTAAGAAGAAAAGGACAAACTATCGTAACCAATAATGCAAGTTTTTTTTATTTGTTGTTACTCACAAAGCTGCACAACGGTGTATATATGCTACGTCCACCGCAGGATTGAACCCAGAATTTTAGCATTATAAGCCCTTAGTATTAGCGCTGAGCCACTGGGGGCTTTAACGTACAGAATGAGAATCTTCAGCATTTTGGTAGGGAAGGCAGCTAGTCAACATCACCCACCACCAGCTCTTGGGCTATTCTTTTCCGACGAAGAGTGGGACTGACTGGCACATTATACGTCCCCACGGCTGAAAAGGCGAGCATGTTCGGAGACGGTGTTTATTCCCGCAAGCCGGAGATTGCCAATCGAGTGTTCTAACAACCAGATCATGCTAGGCCTCTTGTATGTTAGAGCACTATATTCTAACCTTGATTGTCAGTTTTAGCTGTAAAGGGTATTTTTATTACATTCTTATTTATTCTAATTTTAGGAGAGAAAACACACACACATACACACGACAAAATAGTAATAAACTCTGAAAAACACAGTACAATTTTTATCAGTGAGTACTTAAAGCATATCGCGTGTAATACGTGTAATAGACCAACTAGCCCCCATCCCCCAGTGGTACAGCGGTATGTCTGCGGAACGCTAGAAATTGGGTTTCTATACCTATACAGATAGCCCATTGTGTAGCTTTGTCATTCACAACAAATAGAACAATTATAAAACCTGAATGAGACCAGTACAAAAGTTAACTAAACTAAACAATTTAATCACAACTGGGATTTATTAACATTACCTTGCGATCAAAGCAAGCTACCTACTTAGATCGAAAATAAACCAGGTAATGAGTATAAATAATTAAATACACTTTTCTTACGTTATTACTTATGTATTGTATTACAGTGTATTGTTTCTTCATTTTAAAAGAGACGGGTTGCAAACCAAAGTTATAAAACTAAGTCACTCACCTCTCAGTTCAAGTATGTTCAGATCGTGCATCTTATCGGAAACGTAAATTGATTTGTCATTCAAGTAATGCTCGTGAATGAGTATTTGTTAGCGGTGAACATGTCACTTCAATGTGGACTATGTTAAATAGCAAGTATAACCGGAGTCCTAAAGTATTTTAAGCCATTCCGAAAAGATTAGTTTTTAAGGCTTCTTTAATATCTGAAGTCACTTGATGGAAGGCGACACGTTTCATAGCTGCCTCGGAGGGACTGAAATTTGGTGAGCATGCCATTCATTCAAGGCCAACAATGCCAGCATCACAAAATATCATAGTATGTAGTTGTTATAATGAGTTGCACCAATTGTTCCATTCTTCAGTGTGTAGAAGTTAGTATGGCCGTCAAGGCTTCTTCCTGCTCACATACAACTTCTTTCACTATCATATGCGTTATGCTTCTGTATACAAATGGGTTGTATCTAGTTCTAGATTCCATTATCTGGTTGAAGGATAAAGCACGAGTCATCTGTAAAACGAATGTTGCCCCATCTATTGGTGGTGTACTGAACATGTTCTTAGCACAATTGCAGAGAGACGTTTAGTGAGATATCATCGGAATACACTTCATTAGGCGTCTGGAATACAGGTTGACCTTGTAAAGTCTGTATTTAATGGTCTGTGTACTGACGCGGGGTCCACTTGCGACTGCGAACATCTGATTTAGTCTCCTAGCATGTACTATATGATACCATTGGTATGAAAACTGTTCCACATTCCTATAGACACTATGAGACAAATGTGGACACTTTGACTAGTTTTCATTAGCCTAGTAACTCTCCACAGGAGTGAAATGTCCATATGTTTTATTTGAGATCTAGACATAGTTCGCGAATAATTTAGAATAACTAATATGATTTACTATGAAGTGACAACTAAAAACAAGACTGTGTGGTACCAAAATTATAGTACCAATCATTTGTATTCCAGATCACATTATCAGCTGTTTGACTTGCATAGCAATAAATTGAGGGGAACGATTTTGCCTTTCATAGCTAAAGTATTACAAGTTCCTATTATCCTAAATATTTTGTGGAGTTTAGTACGAAAATACATACTTTTGTACACTATCATCATGGAAATATATTTAGAAACGCCATATTTTGGTTACTACTTGAATCAATAATTGTTTTCAAGAAGTAAAAAGATAAAAATTTGGAGGATGAAAAAAACAAAACAAAACTGGCGAACCAAAGGAGTAAAAATACCACTATGAAATTATTTGAAATAAAAAAAATAAACAATTTTTTGGGAAAGATGACCCAAAAAAGAAATTTTGTAACTTGTTGTCAGATAGAAAAATAATAGTGACATATAAAACAGGTTAGAATTAGAAAGTTGAAATAAACTACATAATTTACTGACGATAAACAGATAACTACAATAATAACACAATTTACTTTACGATATACAGATAACTACAATAATAACACAATTTACTTTACGATATACAGATAACTATAATAATAACATAATTTACTTTACGATATACAGATAACTACAATAATAACATAATTTACTTTACGATAAACAGATAACTATAATAATAACATAATTTACTTTACGATAAACAGATAACTATAATAATAACATAATTTACATTACGATAAACAGATAACTACAATAATAACATAATTTACTTTACGATATACAGATAACTATAATAATAACATAATTTACATTACGATAAACAGATAACTGCAATAATAACATAATTTACTTTACGATATACAGATAACTACAATAACAACATAATTTACTTTACGATATACAGATAACTACAATAATAACATAATTTACTTTACGATATACAGATAACTATAATAATAACATAATTTACTTTACGATATACAGATAACTATAATAATAACATAATTTACATTACGATAAACAGATAACTGCAATAATAACATAATCTACTTTACGATAAACAGATAACTACAATAACAACATAATTTACTTTACGATATACAGATAACTATAATAATAACATAATTTACATTACGATAAACAGATAACTGCAATAATAAAATAATTTACGTTACGATAAACAGACAACTACAATAATTACATAATTTACGTTACGATAAATAAACAACTGCAATAATAACACAATTTACGTTACGATAAACAGATAACTACAATAATAACATAATTTACAGACGATAAACAGATAACTACAATAATAACATAATTTACATTACGATATACAGATAACTATAATAATAACATAATTTACGTTACGATAAACAGACAACTGCAATAATAACATAATTTACGTTATGATAAACAGACAACTGCAATAATAACATAATTTACAGACGATAAACAGATAACTACAATAATAACATAATTTACATTACGATATACAGATAACTATAATAATAACATAATTTACGTTACGATAAACAGACAACTGCAATAATAACATAATTTACGTTATGATAAACAGACAACTGCAATAATAACATAATTTACGTTACGATAAACAGATAACTACAATAATTACATAATTTACAGACGATAAAGAGACAACTGCAATAATAACACAATTTACGTTACGATAAACAGATAACTGCAATAATAACATATTTTACGTTACGATAAACAGATAACTGCAATAATAACATATTTTACGTTACGATAAATAGATAACTGCAATAATAACATATTTTACGTTACGATAAATAGATAACTACAATAATAACGTAATTTACGTTACGATAAACAGATAACTACAATAATAACATAACTTACGTTACGACAAACAGACAACTGAGGACAGAATCACGAGGATGACACACATATACAACTTGATTGATTCTTACCCAGACATGACGTGGAAGTTGTTTGTTGTTCCTGTGTGTTCATAATCATGTATAATGGCGGAAAACAACGTTGCAAAGACTTCTAGGTCTGTTAGCCAGTTCTGTCAGAAAAAAAGGTAAGAAGGTCTAATTTCTATAAGTTTCTAAACATTTATGTTCTTTTTTATAAAGCTAAGCAACAACTTTGCTATAAAGTAGAAACTTGAGGCTATGTACAATGTAATACACGCGAAATGCTAACAATATGATATCAGCACCGTCTGGCGTTGGTACTGAATGATAAAGAATCTTTATATTCTACTTGTTACCAATAAAATATTTAAATACAACACCAGTAGCTGGAAGTGCATTGATTTCAGCGAATTGATTACGACAGTTCTGTTCGTCTAATAACTGCATTCGTGGTTTGTTTCAAAGGACATTAGTTTATAATATGAATATTATTTGTTGAGCAAAGAAATAAAAAGTTTTATATTTACCAACCGTATAAAATCATAAACTGCTTGAAACAGAACGTTGTGAAAAGAAAACTATGAAGTAGTTAACGTTTCTTCCGCAGTTGACTCGATATTATCAGTTAAAAATTAGCAGTAACCAGCGATATGTCAGTATGGTTATCTGTTTAACGTCAGAAGAAGTTAAGAAGATGTTTGACCAATAAACCTTCTTTGATTTTTATATTGGGTTTATCGGTTCCTTAGTGTGATCTAAAACACTAAAATTTCCCGATAAAAACAAACTTAGTTTTCAGTGTTTGGTTTCTAAGCTGATTTATCATTCTACGTACGTTTTACTATCATGATCACTCGGTGTTATGTTTAAAACATGGGAAAGAACCGAAATGTTCTTTAAATTTTAATTTCTCTACCAGATTTCCTTACTTAGTTAGTTACAGTTAGTTTAGTAAGTATAAGCATGTTAACTCCACTTTGGTTATTTATGTGACAGGAGTATGAGTAATTTCTGATCTGATTCAAAAACAAAATATGCAGTTTTTTTTTTAGAAATGTTTAGCTAATGTAAGTAAGTTATCTTTATTGCGTTGGAGACATACTCCAAGAATGACCCGTAACTCATTTCAAGATAAACCTTTGCCTTTAAATTAGGCAGATTGTGGTTAGATAGTGTCGATAGAACAAACAAAATCACGAGAAGAAAACACCACCCCGTCAAAAAACAACAGCAACAACAAACAGGGACATACGGTGTGATAAAGCCTGAAAGTACAATGAAGTGACAATAAATAAATAAATAAAATAGAAGTATCCGTCAACTTTTCGTCCAAACACCCTTCATTATGATTAAGGTAATTTTGGCCAAAGCGTTGACTACGCTTTTTTCTGTCTTTCTACGATTTTAACCACTTTATTTATTTGTTTTTTAACCGTATGTTTGAAATTTAAATAAAATCACACCAGCGAAGAAGATCACAACAACAGTAACAAAAACAAAGACGGCAAAGAATATGGTGGTTGAAATACTATTATACATTTTTCTTCTTGATAAACACTAAGGAGCCGTAATTCACCTAACACTAATGTCTAATGATAAGTATAATTAATCCTAATCATACTACGCCAGCTTAGAAAAGGCGTCCACACCATAATACAATTGATGATATAACAAATGTCTTATATAAATAGTGTTCCGACCACTACTGTGTTTGTTGTAGCCCAGCCGGCCTGCGGAGCTACTTATTGAGCGGAACGTATCATCGCCAATGGACATAGTGTGGTTGAAATACTATTTTACACTCTTCTTCGTTTTGAAAAACCCTATGAAACTGAATAAAGAAAGTATTATTAAAATATATGTACTAGGCCTAATACTTATAACAAGTATGATTAAATTTGACATTAATATAATTTCAGTAACACTACCCACCGCTAACCCTCCTTGACATAACATATAGTGGACGGTCTGGGTGACGTCAGCAGCATGGATATTATTATGGTAAGGATTTTTGTATTTACAATAGCCTGATTCCATCTGGATAAGGAAGTTTTCAAGAACAGTAGCCGGGATCTGGAAAGAAGTATAACACTTTTGTTCAAGAATAAACATAAATTATGGTATTATCAGAAATGTAAATTAAAATATATATTGAATTGGATTGAAACTACCTAGAGACCAATGAAGTAAACGCTGAATTAAAGTGAAACTCTCTAAAGGTCATTAAAACAAATACTAAATAAAAATAAAATTTCCTAGAAACCAATCAAACAAGTACTGAATGACTCAATTTTATGGGACATGTTCAGAGAGAAAAGGGATTTTTGTCCCTTACATTGGAAATGAGTCAGCAAAAAAATAATATTGTTAACAAGTAGATATCGTCCACTGATAGCAGCATTACATGGATGATTCGATTTCATACGAGACATGTTCAGAAAGAAACGGGAATTTTTTCCTTTAGGCTGGAAAAGAGTCAACAAAGAGATAATTGTGTTAACAAGTCAATATCGGTCGGTTGCTAGAGACATTGCATGTAACATGTTTACACCATTGGTGTGTAACACAGTTAGAAGTTGGAAAGTGAATGGCAATGGTTTAGAACAATATGTTGTAACTAGTGCTTTAAAAAAGTTGGATAATCACTCCACATCTTATATACAACCTTGCCTTACCAACCTGTGATTTCTTGTTCTCTTTCGTCTTCTCAAAAACACTTTGCCTGAATAACATTTCCAAATTACCAATGTTCTAAAAGCAGCTTTTTTTAAATTGAATTAGTAACGACACACCTGTTATGGACTATACTGGTATGGTGAACCTTACAAAACGATGAAGAAAATATATTATTCGGTTATTTCTAAGGAAACTCTGTTAAGATGTAATATTTGATTGCCTATATGCTGAGCACCATTAGAATATATTTATTAGGTGAATGTTGACTGCGGATGCCTATATGCTGAGCATCATTAGAATACACTTATTAGGTGAATGTTGACTGCTGAAAATAATATCCAGTTTCTTTCTTAACACCTTATATAATATTAATAAATATAAAATAAACACGTTATATATTCCTGAAGAATCTTTAAATAGATAACAAGAAATAAAATGCAATTAAAACAGCTAAATCGACTAGAAAAAAAAATTTAAAGACCGAACTCAGCCTAATGGAGTTAAAGAAGGAATATCTTCTGAGGAATGAAACTAAAGCCTATTTATGTTAGTATAAAAATCAGATAGTGTTCGCTGTGACATGCAGAATAATATGGCCTAATCACATTCTATAAAAAAGTAATTAATGATTTAAGTAACAAATGTAGTAAAAAATTTCATATGCACCTTTTCAAAGTATTCAGAAACACAGTATTTCGATCAATGTGTGCCACATTCTTAGACTATATCTTTGTAATAAATCTGCGTAAAGTTTTACGAAATATGTCAAATCCGTTTTAACTGAGCAAGCGGTATATCAGTTAGCTTTATTCACACACTTAATGCTTGCCTTAAACTTTGGAACTAAGCCGTATCGATTGAGAAGGTCAGTAGCGAGGTAGCGAAGGACCTGTCCATTGGCTATTTTATTCACAGAAAACACGTCAAATGTCCAGTCGTCCACGTTCTGGAATTAAAAACAACAACAGTCATTCGATGGAGTAAACCTACAACCAATTTCATAACATTCCAAACTATACATTAACTTTGTGTTTTTATGTTTTGCTATATGTATTGATGGCGGAAGTATTCCTCTAATCACTTGCCTTATTTTCTTCAACGCATCATGTAGAAGAAAATCAATTGTTGTCTCTGAATACTTCAATTTCCTGCGTCTGGAATTTGTATTGCTTCCTTATTTCTACTAATGAGTATAACAAGATTAAATGAACAAAGAAATCAATAGGCTTTGTGACAATATCTGTCACTAGATGGTAGAATGGGAAAATGGAGTCTTTTTTTATCTTCCTATTAATTAGCATTAAATTTGTGTAATGTAAAATAGGAGGGCACTCAAATATCTGGCTTCAAAGATTATCTATCAACTTTACAAAATATGATAGTCTAGAAATTTCCCAAATGGAATTGTAATTGCTAGTTAATCAAAAGAACAGCATTTCGTTTGTTTTATGAAATAGTACAGTAACATGGTTTAGAAAAGGCAATAGTATAGAAATGTAAATTTGATAAATGGGAGATGTAACTTCAAATCCTCTTTCGTAACGAAAGTATCTGTATATAACATTGTGATTATAGCGCCATCTCTTGACAGTAGCTTAAACCTTTGTTTTCCGCACAAGAATATAAAATATATATAGGATATGAGCTGACATATATTATTCTTATTGATGTAAATAATTCTCGGTTGTAAGGAGTGGAGTTTGAAGTATGTGGTTGTAGGGTAAAGTATGATTACTAAAAAAGGGGTTTAGCAATTTATGCAAATTTATGTTTAATTACTTTAGTGTTAAGCCTAAAGTAATAGATAGTCTAGATGGTAAAAATTGGATCTGGCTAATAGGAGTGCAAATAATGCAGTAATGACCTGCTGTTTGGCTATTTTAGAAACTCTTTAAATAACCACGCATGAATGTTTTGTGTCAAATGTGTCATACTGCGGCTTACAGGTAAGTGCATAAAACAACAACAGTAAAAAATTATGGATGTAAAAGTTATCCAGTCACAAACATTCCAAGACGTACCTTGTTACGCGTTTTTTTTTTTGTTTTTGTTATTAAGAGAAAAGCTACACAACGCGATATCTATCTGTTCTGTGCCCACCAAAGGGATCGAGCCCGAATTTTAATGCTATAAGGATTACTTTATTTTTCTTGTTTAATATGTGAAAAATAACAAAAAACGCATTGATTTAACATATGAAATTTGTTTGTTTCATTAGATACAATAAGACATTACATGGTTATTTCGGAGCAATAATTTCTCTTGGATAAGCTCTTGGTGTCGATTTAAAAGAAAAACAAAGGAACGATCATTTCGGTTAGAAATGACAAAATAATAAGGAGTAGCTGGGAGTATTATCTACAGTTGCTTTTCTTTAGATTTAATAAAATCTCATTTCAAAGAGAAAAGCAAAAAATGACATGTTAAAAGCTAGTGGCATTAAGAATGGATCTTTTTTGGGTTTTTTTGTAGGAAGATAGTCCCACAGAGCATAGAACAATGATAAAGCCCAATGGTTTTTATTCCTCCTTGTTTGAACTCTCGTTTCAGAAGACAGATTTTTTTTACTTGTTTTATTATATATTCCTATATATATCTTACCTTAAGATTTTGGGCAATTTGATTCGGAATCTGCATCATTGCCGAACTAGACATTCTTCTGTAGATCCTGAAATTAGAAACATTATAGATAATCTATTTGATTGTGGATTTCAGTACTGTTCAGATACAGCTATAACATACCACTAAGTTTACGGATGGTGTAGGCATTTGTTTCGTGTTCGATTTAAAGTTGAACTAAGTTTTAATTACTTAGTTATTGCACATAACAGCATTTAAACTGCCTGAAAAATTCAAAATATCGACATGTCTTAACAACTAAGCCTCATGAAGCTCTACATAAAGACAAGATTAAACATTAGATTTCAAAAATATATTACTCACGACTACAATAAAAATATGGCAAATTTTCAGTAAAATGCAAGCGTGTACAACATAATTTCACCAGTAGGGCTGATAAACATCTTGAACTAATCTTTTAAATTACTGTGTGCCAGTTCACTTCACATTATTATAAATGTCTGTAACTCGATAATTTCGAGTTTCAGATTTAACTTGCAAATAGCTTTCGGTCAGCAGGTACTCAAAAGAATTATCACGCGAAATATTCTTTGAGATTTTAAAAACTAGAATTGAAAATAGAAGCAAAAGGCACTCTTATAATTATTCATGATTTGGAGCAAGATTATATTTTAAGACAAGTTTTAACTTTGAATATCAATACCGTATAGGTCAGAAAGCTAAGTCATATTAAAGAGATTTACCACGCTTTGATACTTAGGTCAGAAAGCTAAGTCATATTAAAGAGATTTACCACGCTTTGATACTTAGGTCAGAAAGCTAAGCCATATTAAAGAGATTTACCACATTTTGATACTTAGGTCAGAAAGCTAAGCCATATTAAAGAGATTTACCGCATTTTGATACTTAGGTCAGAAAGCTAAGTCTTATTAAAGAGGTTTACCACATTTTGATACTTAGGTCAGAAAGCTAAGCCATATTAAAGAGATTTACCGCATTTTGATACTTAGGTCAGAAAGCTAAGCCTTATTAAAGAGGTTTACCACATTTTGATACTTAGGTCAGAAAGCTAAGTCATATTAAAGAGATTTACCACGCTTTGATACTTAGGTCAGAAAGCTAAGTCATATTAAAGAGGTTTATCACATTTTGATACTTAGGTCAGAAAGCTAAATCATATTAAAGAGATTTATCACATTTTGATACTTAGGTCAGAAAGCTAAATCATATTAAAGAGATTTATCACATTTTGATAAGCCATATTAAAGAGGTTTATCACATTTTGATAAGCCATATTAAAGAGGTTTATCACATTTTGATAAGCCATATTAAAGAGGTTTATCACATTTTGATAAGCCATATTAAAGAGATTTACCACATTTTGATACTTAGGTTAGAAAGCTAAGCCATATTAAAGAGGTTTACCACATTTTGATACTTAGGTCAGAAAGCTAAGCCTTATTAAAGAGATTTACCACATTTTGATACTTAGGTCAGAAAGCTAAGCCTTATTAAAGAGGTTTACCGCATTTTGACACTTAGGTCAGAAAGCCAAGTCATATTAAAGAGGTTTATCACATTTTGATACTTAGGTCAGAAAGCTAGGCCATATTAAAGAGGTTTATCACATTTTGATAAGCCATATTAAAGAGGTTTATCACATTTTGATAAGCCATATTAAAGAGATTTACCACATTTTGATACTTAGGTCAGAAAGCTAAGCTTTATTAAAGAGGTTTACCGCATTTTGACACTTAGGTCAGAAAGCCAAGTCATATTAAAAGCAAGAAAAACTGTAGTTTGTTGCGATATGGAAATTTGTTAGAGTGGTAATCTTACGTTTTGTGTTCAATCAGGCATATAACTCGTCTTTATTTTGCAGTATTTCAAAATTATAATTTTAAAGAATTGAAGCTTTAATGAGGGCCACCGACTCTTTCTGAGTTGAAAGTCTATTATTTCAAGTAGTTAATATTAGATTGCCATGGCAATTTGGAATTTCGTTTAGTGAAACATTTATTGTGAGGTTTGTTGGTATTTCCGTCACTAAATTAAAAAAAATAAAAACAAAAAATCAAGGCTTGACCTAACTCATGTTTCCATTTCCTTTCACATTTTTAGGTTAAAATAATTTCCTGGAATACCACAATTCATTAGTAAATCTGAGGCAGGCTGAAACTTTCAGATCAAGCTTGAGTTTAATCGGTGGTTTATTAAATGTGAATGGTACTTTTAATTGATGGTGTCCGTATGGATCTATCTGGCTTTTTAAATACTCTTTTTTTAAAACTACTTACGCACCTATTATTCGCAGTCACATGATTTTGTTGGTTACATAGTTCTTAATAACATGTGAGTCACACGCCAACATACTGTTGGCATTTTCTTAGTGCAAAGCTACACAATAGATTATTTGCACTCTGTCCACCGCGAGGAATCGAACCCAGGATTTTAATCTCGTAAGTTCATAACATACTGCTGACCGATCGGGGACCACCCACATACGAATAAAAATACCATCAATATTGCATTAATCGTACTAATTATAGGAGTTTCCAACGAAAATGAGTGATTTCACCCAATTTTTGTTTTTTTTACACTGACTGTTGTTATAGGAAAAATATATAATTACTCAATATGATGAACTATGTGGACCTCCACCTGTAGTGAACGGTTTAAAAACAAGTCGGTAGTTTGAGGACTAATATTCACTATATAATCAAAACTACTTGGACAACCAGAGCCTCAGCTGTGATTATTCTCTGATGAGTAGAATTTATGAATGCCACTAGCTGCCATGGGCCAGCCAATCGATTGGAATTAACATGCCACGAGGCAAAAAGGCAATGGATGTAAGTAGAAAAATGATTAATGGACGTATCACTGGTAGTGTATCTGTACGAAATATTTCAGTCTACATACAGTATTTTCGGAATATAAGACGCACCCTTATTTTCAAGACAAAGTTTTGAGGGAAAAAAAAGCTACAGTCGCATTT